GAGGGATATTGAGGAGGGGTAGGGGGATAGTGAGGAGGGGCAGGGGGATAGTGAGGAGGGGTAGGGGGATAGTGAGGAGGGGTAGGGGGATAGTGAGGAGGGGCAGGGGGATAGTGAGGAGGTGGGGACTGGGGGAGGTATGCTCGCTGCTGGTCGGCAGCACTTTGCTGGAGTCGGTGCTGAGTGTGAGCTGCTGATGCTGAGCGCTGAGTGAGTGAGTGAGTGGCCAGGAGCTTTAGAGGCAGGATTTGCTGAATGTGTTGCAGCTGGATGTAGTTCCTGCAGGGCCAGGGAACAGGGGGCCGGAGCCTCTCTGATGCTGTGCTCTGTCCTGCTTTAAACCGATGGATGCCGGTGGACCGTGTGCGCGGCGATGAGACCGGGAGGGGAAGAGCCAGAGCCAAGGCTGCGATTTGTGTGAGAGAGAGAGAGAAAATAACATTGTAACCCGGAATAAAGAGCCCGAGGCTGGAAAGGGGGGGATCCGGTTTCCGAATGGGCATTGGCTTTGGAGAGCTGCTGCGCTCGGAGTAGAGTGTGGTTTGCAGTAAAAATAAATCAGAGAATCATTTCGCTGCTCGGGATTAGATGGGGACAGTTCATTGCAAAGGTTCATGCAACATTTGGAGTGAGAAGATGTCTCTCAACTGTCCTTTGAACAGCATTGCTGTGAGAAATGGCTTTCTGCTCCAGCCCCACAGTCCATTCCTATAAAGTCTCCCAGCGGCTGCTCTTTGGCTTCACCCTGTCTCTCTCCCTCACCTATGTCTGCTACTCATTGCTGAGTTGTTACACCTCTCTGCAGTTCCCGGTGCACGACAGCAGCCCGCTGTCCCAGGGCACTGAGCACAAGCCGGGCAGCGTGAGCGAGCCCCCCGGGACCAGGCTCTGGCTCGGTGTGACTAACCCCCGGGGCCAAGCGGTCAGCAGCGAGAGCCCGGCCGAAGTGACCACTGCCCACAGCCTGCTGCACAGGGAAGGCCAGGAATCCAGTACCACGGCCGAGGAGCTGAGCCCGAGGAACAGCACGCCGGACTTCGGGCTCCAGCGGCTACCTCAGGCCATCATCATCGGGGTGAAGAAGGGAGGTACCCGGGCGCTGCTGGAGGCGATCCGGGTCCACCCGGACGTCAGGGCAGTCGGAGTGGAGCCGCACTTTTTCGACAGGCATTACGACAGGGGTCTGGAATGGTACAGGTAAGCCCCAAAATCCCGGAGTCCTTCCGCCCAGCCCTTCAACACCTCCTGGCTCTGCCCTGTTGACTTCAAATCAAGGCTGAAGCTTCATTTAAACGCACCCAGACTGCATCTCACACACATTCTGGTGGCAGATTCACCAACCTCGGTTGCGCTTTGCATCCTGTGAGTACCAGGCTTTTTTCCTGACCACCCCCTCTCCCCCGGCTCAGAGCAATAGTCCCCTGAAACGTGGAGTTCTCCCTTCGCTTCTTGCAACAGCGGTGAGAGACAGTCCCATCCAGTTAATGGAAATTGTCACCCTTTACTTTGAAGACCCGAGTGAATGTGGCAGTCAGCGCTCACTGTTCGACTGAGATGTGTTCAGAGTGGGAGTAATCTGAGAGGCACAGGGCTCTGCTGTAATTTCCCTGTTCCTAGATAGCGGCGTGTCCCTCTAACTGACAGGAGAACGTGTTAGGAACATGCTTCCGTTCTTAACTTACTGATACCCTTTCTAGCACTGACCGTGTTCGTTCACTGCTCTCCACAGTCCCATAAGGTCGATGCAAATAGGTGGCACTGACAAAAGAGACGGACTCTTTAAAAAAAAAGCCGTGTATAATGCTAATGCTATAAGGTGCTAATTGCGAGGGGCAATGGAAGCTAGGTAGTCACATTTTTGCGTTTTCCCCATTCATCTGTGCCTGGTTCCTAAGTGGGAAGTAAGGGCGAAAGTTAGAAGCACTGAGATCAAAAGGCAAACGGAAAGGTGGCCAGAGGAGATGCGTCTTATTTGCGAGAAGGTAGCATCAGTCTTTGTATCCGAACGAAATGGCCGTGAATTTTCAAATCCACATTTCCCCCCGTTTCCCTTCCAAGTACATTATGTAAAGATACGGTGGAGAGATAGGAGTCGGTTTGTTTTCCCTGCTGGAGAAGTGGGGGCTGACGCGGGAAACAACACGTTTGATGTTTGTGTGCTTGTTAATAATATATTCACTGCAGATATCATGTATAGCAAGACTAATGAAGTCGCGTTTGTTCTCCTTCGGACAGCTCAGGTTCCATAATGGAAGATTTGACAGAAGTGTCTACAATTAGGAAGGGTTTACAGTGACGGAAGGAGCAGTAACTAGGGGACACAGCTTTCAAATAATTGGTAAAGGAACCAGTGGGAAAATTTGAACCTGGATTTTTGTAAGGCAGCATATAGTTTTGAGCTCATTCGAAAGGGTAGAAGCAAATGCAGTGGTAACTCTCAAAACGAAATCAAATAAATATTTGAAGGTAAGATTTGCTGGGCTCTATAAAAAGGACAGGGTAGTGGGACAATATTTGCATTGGGGCAATAAACGTCATTCTGCACTAAATGGTTTGCTGACCACCTTTAAGATCCTGTCTGCACTCCCACTGTGCCTGTTTTAGCTACAAAATACTGGCTATACCCTGACAAATGAGGAAATGCTGTGTTTCCAGGCTTCTGCCCTAGTGCAGGATTTACCCTATCAAGCCCTGTAAATACTGGAATAACGTTATAACAAGCATCCACTTGAAGACCTCACATTGCGCTCCCAGCTTCCATCCTGAGTCTCTCCAAACCCTATTCCTGTGACCAGCCTCAAAGCAAGAGACTCATCTTGGATTAGCTCCAGCTGTCTGTGCTCCAACACATGACTTACTGCAGTCAGAAAGAACGAGATAAATAGAGCAAAGCGCTAAAGGGAGAGAAAGGGAAAAGGGATGATGCTCTACCTGAGGTTGGAGAAAGAGAAAGACAGACAGACTGTCAAATTATCATCCTATTTTCAATTAGTTTAGTTGCCATACTTCCCCCAGCACTGTAACCTCATTCAGCCCTACAACTGTCCTAGCTCTTAGCATTGCCCCAAACCTGGCTCCTGCCCACCCTGCATGTCGTTCACCCAGCCATTGGATGTTGTGCCTTCAGCTGCTGAGGTTGAAGTTCTGGACATCCAGCCACATCCCCCCCCCCCTCCACCTCCCCCCCCCCCCCACACACACACACACAACCCTCACCCACAATAAATAAATCTTCCTGATTCCTTCTGCTACTTTAAGGTGATGTTTGAAACCTGTTGACCAAGGTTTTAATCGCTTGTCCTGATTGTTTTTTGCGTTGTTTAGCATCAGGTTTTGTCTCATAAACATCTCAGGATAATTTACCACATTATCGGCGCTACGTAAATGCAATTGTGATGGTTCCAAATGCTGAGTTACTCTTGCTGACTCTTTGAGTAGACAGTTTATGTCTTCCTGACATTTCAACAGTGTCCTAATCAACATGTCCAGAAAAACAAGACACCATCAGGAACACAAGCCCCACCTTCTGGTTTGAGGTAGATCATCGTGAACAGAGCCAAGATTATTGGCTAGGAAGTGTTTTGGGTATCCTAAGGATATGAAAGTGCTATGTTTTTCTCTCATTCGTTTTGTTATTGGGAACTCCAGAGGAAACAGTAACACAAAAGTATCACAGGATTTAGACATGTTAAAAAAAATGCAGCTTGTTGTCATGACAACTTGGGCCTGTTTGCCCGGTCATTGCAAGCTATGGTTCAAGTGAAGCACTATCACAAAAATGAAACTTTCTAGAAATAACTCACCGCTTATTCTGCCTGTCACGCTTCTTTCACATGTTTGTTGTGGTTGATATCGGTAAGTGTAGATTTTGGACGGCTGAGAAAAATGGAAAATATTTGTTCTTGACTAACACAGTGAGGTGATGCTGAAAAGGCATGTGAGGAGAAGGTAAGCTGCTGTGTCTTTCTCTTCCCATTTCCTATCTAGACCCAGGAGTTTGTTCAGACCACAGTACCCCATTTCCTTCACCAAGGCACTACCTTGGCCAATCAAGGTGAACTCGCCAACCAATCAGCACCCATTTCTTCTGTAGTATAAATTATTTTGAAATTAGACATTCTTACATTTGTCCTGATGTGTAAGACCCAAAGATTGGGTAAAATCTCCACCTAGCACCACCATTCTGCTAACCCTTTCCCCACACCTCTTTATCTGCAGCTCCCCCTACCCCCACATCCAGTCCTGAAGAAGGGTAATAGCTGAAACGTTGACTCCTTTCCTCCAGATGCTGTCTGGTTTGCTGTGTTCTTCCAGCCTCCTGTTTGTCTACCTGGATAAAATGTCTCCTTGTTCAGATATTTATATTCCAATATTTGTTTCTCCCAGTAGAGTTAATTAAACAACGTGAAGAGAAATTGCTTAACCAAATCCTGCAAGTCTCAAAAGAAATAGAGGACTAATTTTATTGTAGCTTAAAAACATTACGTCAAGAATCAAACTCTAATAGAGCAGGATACTGCCAAGGTGAAGATCAAAGTCCTTTGTTTAAACACCTAGACTAAATCTCCTTAGCGTGAATAGTTTCAGAATCTCAAGTTTCTCTGCAAGGCTATAATTGCCCATTCCTGGTATCATCATATGCACTGTATGTTGCACACTTTCTAAGGCTTCACATTTCCTGTAGTCATACAGCACCAAATGTCAGGTACCACTCTGCTGAAAATTGTATGTACAAACAAAAATACAAAACTGATTTAATGTGATAGGTTACAACATATCACAGGAGCCACAGATTGTTCAGGCTGACACTATATCTTCTTCTTTCTGCTATCCTGCTTCCCTGTCTTTCTCATTTTCATTTTCCTCATTCTCTTTACAGCCAGCATTAGAGATGGGATTTGTGTGTGTTATTTTATCCTGCAGCTATGGGGCTTTCCCTAAATGTACAAAGATGTAAAAGCACTTCATTACTGCTGCATGCACAATGGTTTAAAAAGAGGAATGCCATTATTATTATGATTGCTGGGATAGCTACACTGCTGTAGTCTGGCACTATTCTTGGGAGAGAATGTGAAGAATTGTCAGCCTGGTCCATGTAGCAGAGGGCAAAGGTGCGGAGGCAGGAGAAATGTTTGATTCTGTCATCCCAAGCTTTAGATTTGAAAGCTGTTAGAAACCAGGGATGACTAGGGAGGGAAAGAATGCCACAGCTTGTAGATCTGACAACATAATGCATTAGAGTGAGAGTTTACAGGATACCTGAAGCTGAGGTAGAACAAGAGAGAGAGGTCTAGAGGAATAAGAACAGGACATGCTGGAACTACGCCTCTGTGGAGGGAGAAACAAAATCACATTTCAAGGTTGTGATTTTAACTCTATTTCTCTGTCCACAGAAGCTGCCAGGACATTTCCAGCATTTTCGGTTTCTGTTCTGAATTTTCAGAGTCTGAGTCCTGTGCTTATGTGTAAGTTCCAGAAGAAAACTGACCACAAGAGTATTGATGAACAAAGAAAGACGAGGAAGGTTGCTGAGAATGTCATGTTGCAACTTGGGCATGAGAGCCGATGGCCTATTGGGTAACAAGCTGCTCTTCTGTTTCTGTTCTAATATTATATTCCTGTTCCTGCGTGTTTTATTGAATTCAACTCAAAATGCACAGAGCTTTGAGGAATCACCTTACATTCACTTAACTAAAGGTGGCATTCATGCATTGCAGAGCTTGCTGCCTCTATGCACTTCCTATTACGTGCTTCACTCCCCATACTCAATAGTCACACAGTAATCCAGCAGCTGTTAGTCATTTGAATTCAAGAGATCAGACTACAGTGAATCACTGCTAATGTACATATACTCATGGGGTAAACTCACTCCAATATCCTGGGTCACAAGTAAAGGGACTGGAGATCGAATCACATTAATTTTTGACCCAGGCCCATTTTGAACCTGGCTCCATGCTTGGGTACATGTGATTGGTGATTCTGCGGTTACAGATTTAAATGTCAAATATTTGTTGAATAATAATCAAGACTTATAAACTGGCTCCTTGGAGTGAGGATTTTATGTACCTTTCACTTTCTTGTATATCATTTTAAAATTTTACGGGTTTTATCTTGACTGAAGTTAATCCGGCTCCAATACACCATCACTTAGCAAATACTCTGCCCAGTGCCATGTTATTTACCGTCTTCATCTCTAC